TTCTGAGTTAACTCTCTGAGAAGGACTTTGAAAGAAATGGAAGTTACGGGGATTATGTTTGGGGAGAGAGGAATATGAGGAAGAATAGGTAAATCAGATTGAGAGGTAAGGATCAGTGAAGGGCTACCGATCTCTCTAGCTTGTGGGCCCTTTCACAGGAGCTATGAACTGGACCTAGCTAAAATTTTGTCTTAGCTAATGGCCAAAATTTGTGGCAACAATGCTCCCCGGGGAGTGACCACAGCTAATTAGTTGACCCCGAAATCAAAACAAAAGGGCCATCATTATCTCTCTGCAGGTACCGCGATTGTTGGCCGGCCATAAGGGATGGCATCGAAGGTGTGATACTGGTGGCGAATCCTGATGAGAATAAAGGCGAAGATTTGAAGATATGGTGAGTCAAGTTCCATATTCCGTCTTCCTGGCAGGGAGTATGACAAAACGTGACATTCCAATGGCTTTCTCCATCTTTTTACTCCGTGAATCCATCAAACGAGCCCTTGCATTCAATCTCGTCTCAAGGCTGGCAAGTAAAAAAGACATGGCCTAAGATATGTCGGCTCTCCACCCACGCATCTTGGGGGCGAATCCTGATGAGGCCACAATTGTGGCCACAATTGCGAGAATCGTTGAGGATTTCAAATGGGGATTTTATCACTCACCGAAATCGAAGGGCACTAAGTCCAGTAAATCGTGCTGCACACATTGGAGGCAAGTTCCGGGACAAATATGATATCTTATTCTGCTTCGAAGTGACAACGGAGACGTGAAGTGTACGCGTGGAAGTAAACCACCTCTCTAGCAGCAGCGTAGTAGCATTGAATTGCGGGCGGGATCCGTGGAGGTGTGGACGGACTCCATGGTGCATACTCGAGCCGTAGCGGCTCATCCTTGCTAAGTCGTGGCGCCAAGTGGGTATATGCTCTGCGCTTGCGTATCACTCCTATATTTCTTGCGCAGGGACTTCATTACGCTCAGAATTCCGGAACTTCTCCTTAAGTCCCCACCCATACTTTTGCTGGAAAAAGAAGCTTTGGGGCATTGTGGGATCCAAAGCGAAATGATCTTCACCATTCTATGAGCAAGGATTACGCTTGAAAAGTCGCCTATCTATTTCTGCTAGTTTACTTTCGGAGAGGAACCCAACTAAGGCCTCCGACCCAAGCCTGAAGCAGCGGTTTATTAGGCTATCACTGCTGGGAAAAGGAAAATGCATAGAAAAGGTAGATTCGAGTAGGAGGAGCTCTGTGAGAGGAGCTCCCTTCCATGCAGGAATTTGATTTTTGTAAGCTTTACCAACAATTGCGCCATATGACCGCTTTTTCAGAAAGACCTTGACATAACGCTAAGGTTAGCCTATGACGGGAAAAAACGCGCAAAAAGCCATTTCTTCAACTTACTCCACTGCTGCCTATTCGACAAAACTAAACGAAGTATCCTTCGCATACTCTACAAACTAAAAATTGAATCGGGTTTTCAGGGATCACATAGAACTGACTTAAGCTTTATGCGATTGCTCTAAGCAGAGACTAAGCAGGGACCGGCAAACGTATAATAGAACAAACGCTTATCTCCATGGAGAGCAAGCCACATGATGCGGCATAAGATCAGTTTTTGGATTAAGATTTCATGGGGGCAACTTACATGGCTTGACAAATTCTTCAACAATCACTCGGCCTCTATCAATCAACCACGCTAGTCTTCTTGTTCCTTGATAGGACAGGCAAAATTCTTCCCAGCCATTCGTTAAGCTTGCTTCTCTTTGATATCTTTCCTACCATATATGGCTTCAATTGGGCCACCTTACTCTTCTACAGAACGTGTGTATTCTGACATTCACGATTATGATATACTTTTTCCCATCTTTCGAAGCTCCAGGCTTCAAAGATCGAACGATCAGCTCACAATCAGTCTAAGCTGAAAGGAGGAGTTCACGTTAAGAACGGGTAAGGAAGGAAGGAGGGGTACGCCCACCGACCATCTAATCACTCGCCGCAGGTCTATACGTGGCGAGTGATTAGATAGCAGAGAGAGCGTAGTGTTGAAGAGGGCACAGCGATGAGAGTCGCATCAATGCGCAAATCAACGGGCAAGGAAGGGGTCCCATTTCTCGGGTTTCGGGCCGTTTCAAATGGTTTCTTCTTCATCCCTGCTCCACTGACCACCTCTAGAATGAGCTAACTTTTCATCGCAAATTCTGCCTTTAAGTTCGACATCACTACCAGAATTACGTGCTCGAAGGCGTTGGAATCCCACATCTCCACTAAGTAATCCGTAAGGTTGATTTCAAGATGCCCATGGGAAAGAGTCTCGGGAAGCAGAGGATGGTCAGCTAGCAGATCACAATCGTAATTTTTCTTATTCATAGCCTATCCTCCTATTTTTTGGATTCCGCTTCATTTTTCATTATTGTAAAGATCATAAAGTTCTCACTAAGTAATAAATTAGTAACATGATATAGTTCTTGCATGAGAATGTCACTATATTTCATTTGCTGAAACTATTACAACGGAGAACTACAAGAGACCTTTCAGTACGCTCTATTGTCACATGCAAGTCAATTAAGGAAAGAAGTCAATGGGAGTTTTAATAAGAAGAAAGAAGTCAACGGGAGCTTTGAGAGAAAACTTATAGAGGAATTTTTCAGATAAAGACGAATCTCTGTAGTCGAGAAAGGAGCAAATAAAATGTCTGAAACGATTTTCGGGGGATTACCCGAAACCAATACCAATCGTAGGATGACTGAGAGGTAGATAGTGTTTCGGTGACATCTAATATGGCGCCGCTCGTCGTCGACAAGGCGTTTTGATGGCTTAAGAGGAGGGTGCCGAGAGAGGGCTCATACGAGGGCCAATATCAGATCGAAATGACACCTTATTGCGATCGGGCGCCGTCGCTTCCAGGATGACCGCCATATAATATGGCACGGAGGATTCGCTCGTCTTAGCGCCAACACCACCACCGATTAGGTCCCGAAATTTGGACACGAAATGGATATATACGAACGGGGGGAGGGTTCCTCACCTTCTGAGCTTTTAGCTATAGTATGCACGGTAAGATAGGAGAGAACTACTACCACGGTTGTGACCATATTTCGAAGGAGACCGTTGAGGAATAGGATAGTCGAGGAAAGCTACTTAGCTTTCTTTTGGCAAGGCTCGCTCTGAGCGCCGTTTTCCCATGTTTGTTTCCTTTTTCTTTACCCTTTCTTTCTTTTATCTCGCCTACGATCTACGTTCTCCGTTCCACATTATCAGCTACGAATGGAGATGGTTTAGTGGCAAGTGGGAACACTTACTACGAACACGGTCCTGTGGTCGATTTCTGAATCGGATCTCCTAGACTAATGAGGCCTTCCATCCCTCCATGTTATGACCAGGTGATCGGTATTAGACTAGTACAACACTGACAAAAATTCACCTCTGTACATTGGTTGGCCCCCGCAAGTCATCGTATGGGCCAAACCGCGTTCAAATGCCAAGAGAAGAGAATGCGTGGCGCATCCCTAAAGAGTGAATAGTCCACCCCAAACGCTTTATCTTTTGCTTAAGCATATTTTGATGTTCAGGACCACCCGATATCGGTCATTCCAGGTACGACGAGTTCATCGCCTCGTCAAACTTAGACTCGGAAAATATTCTCATCGTCCTCAACGAAATGGGGGAAAAACGCACGAATGACACTGCTATCTCAGAATTTCGGTGAGTTCTTTAATCGAAAATCTTTTATAGAAACAAGAACTGCAGAGAAAATGCATAAGAGTCGGGCTCTGCTAATTTCGTGCCTTTCAATTGACTTCACTAATTCCAAACGATGAGCATGCACGCTCCTCAGAACAAAGAGTCATTTTGCTGTGTCGTTTGATGAAGACGAAAAAGCATGTAATGACGGATGGATCGAAATAGTCCAGGGATTACGAGCAACGGGGAAGACGCGCTGAAATTAGCTGCACTCTGAGCGAACGCAGTGAAGCGCCTCTAACGACTACACAGTGATCCCTTGCGGAAAGCTTTCAAGCCAGCATATACATTGTACACTAGAAAAATCTTGTTATTAAGCCAAACAATTCTTATTTTCCGCTGAGTGACGTGGGATGAGTGGTCTAAGATAAATAAAGATAAAAGATAAAGGATAAAGCATTTGCCGTTGATCAATCCCTTTTTGGGATGCGGCACGCATTCTACTTCCATTTGTATTCATTAGTTTGAATGCGATGTGGCCTATACAATGACTTGCGGGGCCAGCCGATGTACAAGTCAGTGTTTTTATCCTCCCAGACAAGTCTGGTACCAATTAAAGGGATGGAAGGCTTGGTTGGCCCGGGCGACTCACGACCCAGGATTTGATCCCCGGACCGCTCGCGTGGTAAGCGGCCACTTGCCACTACACCACTTCCGCCCTTTAGATCATTTGGTTTTTGATGAGAGCAATCTATGAAATTCTCTGATAAGAAAAGAAGGGAAGAGGGTAAGGTGGAGGTGCTGCCAAGCGGCGTCGCTACTACTGCGTGACCAGAGAATCAAGTCTATTGAAATCTAACAGAACTTCTAAGTTCATTTTAAAGACGAAAAACATTGATCTACTCTGACTAAAAAACTGGTGAAGATGGTGAAGAAAATTGAGAACGGCAGTTCCTCAAGAATTTTTTCTTCACTCCTTTTTTAGCATTCAGAGAGCTACTCTAATTATTCAAGCGGTTCATTCACAGATACTTGTCACACCCTATACTATTCAGTCTGATCTGTGCTCCATTAAAGCAGAAAACAGGAAATAGTCGCTCTTGTATGTCTTGGATTTCATGAAAGAATATTTGTAATTCCAGAAAAAGTTACATAAAGGCCTTTTTTTGAAGCTGTCCACCTTCGAATAAGTAGCCCTTTGCAAGACTGGGCGCTTTCTAGCAAAGTGAAAAATGAACCTAATCCCACACACTGCAATTAGGATAAAGAATTACCTATAGCAAAAGTTTGATATGTTAGGAGAAATGGCACACAAAATGAAGAACTGTCGCGTCTATGAGCCTCACGCCTCCCATGCAAAATACATTTTGGCCCCTCAATTAACGGACAACTTTTTAACTTTTGAGAGGAAGCAGGATCATCACATATTTGACTAGTTAGCAGTATTCTTCTTACACTAATTCCATTTTATAGATTGCCTCCGCAACTGTCGTCAGCTACATGTGCAGCCTGCAATCTATTGCACGAAGGCGATCAACTGAGACTCGACTTCAATCAATTTTTAGTCACAATCATCGCCAAATCGGAGGTTCCATCTGATATGTGATCAATAAATCGATTATTGATTGTTGAGGAAAGTATGGATGTTAGATGAGAGAAAAGACGAAATCTTATTTCTGTGAATATAGTGTTGAACTTCAAGTAATCGTCACCTAAAATTAGATGTGAACGAAAAAAGATGCGCTGAACTCAAGTTAACTTGGTGCTGCGTTCCTTGCGAGCGAGCTGAGTCACTGCCTTTTTGAATGGTTTCACAGTTATCAGCAGAGAAATCTTCAGAGCAATTCTCAAGAAAAGGCCAGAAAAAACCCAAAAGGGTCCATGTTGTAACTGCTAACCATGTATGTGTTATATATAATAGTTATTGCTCTTGGCAAAGCTATATTATTAATCAGGAGAAAGATACGTCTTGCAACAATAAATTATGAAATTATAAACTACGCATAAAAGAAAGTTAACTCCAAGGTCTCTACAAAACTCA